TATGTTAAAATCAGTTGGTCGCAAATGTTCAAAAATCTAATTAAAATGTTCGAATTTCCATCAAACTCAGGAACTAGCCTTAAAGATTTCCAAATCCTTTCTGTCATATCGTTTGAATAAGCTATAGATTGTTGTTCGGTCGCCATTTCTTCTTCTATGCTTTCTAATGTAGATAATTCAATTTCGCGATGAAACCTTAATTCTCTAGAATTAGGGACGAATACTGCGCCGCAGATTCGGTCCTATATCTCTACTTTTCTTTGGAAAAAAAATCTTGAAAACTTTCTAAACTATTAAAAGAAAACTTAATTAATTTACTTATTAAGTCCTACGGGAGACAGGAAAGGGGCCGCTGTCAGCCAATAGGAATAACTAGCAATCTTTCTAACTATAAAAAAATTAATTTACTTATTACGTCCTACGGGAGACAGGAAAGGGGCCGCTGTCAACCAATAGGAATATCTAGAAATCTTTCTAACTATTAAAACAAACTTATTTAATTAACTTATTACGTCCTACGGGAGACAGGAAAGGGGCCGCTGGCAACCAATAGGAATACGTAACTTATATAATAAAACTCACAGGAGCAGGATGCTTAGCTTAGTGTGGTGATGGGCCATCGATTTTTGGATTAGCGCCGGTTTTCGAAGTTGATTCTTCTTTCCCGTCTGACGACTGCTTCGCGTAGATTCGTAGAGATAGTCGACACGCCGACGACACGACTATCAGGCTGATCGAAGTATGATGCTCGCACTGACTCGACTATCCTACCGACTGCGCCAATTACGGAATTGAGCCGTCAGGTAGGGTTTTTAAAAACTAAGCTTTAAATTATAACTTTATTTATTTAAATGTTTTACAAAATTACTTATACTAATTGATCCCGATGATCCGGTCTTACAAACTATACGTCAAGATGCTTCCACGATTGAAGCTCAAGCAACTCCCAAAACTGTCCGAAGGTTTTACATGAACTTAATCTGTCTAATAAGCACTTTTCAACACGATTGCTCAATCGAGCCACCTGCACTTGGGAAACACATAATGTACACGTGACGTATGAGTGACGTAGACGAGTCTTGTACTCGTAACATACTAGTAAATATTGTATTTTTAATAAACATTTATGCAAAATGTTTATTAAAAATACAATATTTACTAGTTGGGGGGTATTTTTTCAAAAACCTTATTTTTGGGAAAGGCGAAATGGCTTTCTGGTAATACTGAATTTCCTGTCCAGCTTCTCTCTGTCTTTGGATCATGTCCGTGATGCAAGCGTACCCATGATCAATAAACGGTTTTTCGTTATGCCATTAAATACTGCGTAAATAGTGCCAAATTAGTGTAAAAATAAAAAAAATAGTGCCTCAGTAATTTAAGAAATAAAGACCATTTTTACTGTGTATGCTAGTATCTAGCATGACGTCAAGCTAGCGTACCCATGGCCGTCCCCAAGAACGGCATATATTTAAGCAACGAAATTGACTCACAAAAATAGTGTATATGGCATAACGAAAAACCGTATATTGATCGTGGGTACGCTAGCATCACGGACACCTTTGGATCTACATCTAGGCAAAGATTTAAAACCATTGAAATCTTACCTTTGCAATCTTTGCGTCTAGGCACCATAGAGCAGTGTTGCCAACTCTACGTCTTTTTACGTAGATCTACGTATTTTAGGCCTTTTCTGGAAACCTACTAACTTCAGTCCCAGAATCTACGTATTTTCTTTTTTCAAATTTGTAAAATGACTTAATTCACTAGAATAAAGAAGAATATTTTCCGTTACTTTACTTAAAAACTATACAAATGTTTTTTCTTATAGAGATGTATCTAAACACTCTTGTATCTCGTAGAAAAGATTCCCGTTACAGTAGAACTCCAATTATCCGAATCGCCGATTATCCGAATCACAAAAAATTGTCCAAAAAAAGTCTAAGTGCGCTATTATTCTTCCCCCCGCGAAGCCAGTATTTGCGCGTCAAGTCTTGACTTGACTTGTCTTAACTTGCCGTTGTGCCTACACTGACTTCCCCCCGCGAAGTCAGTGTAGGCACAACGGCAAGTTAAGACAAGTTCCGGCGCATTGCAGTCACGGCGCACCTGTCATTGTTTGTTTTGATTAGCCAGTGTGCTATTGACCTTGCTCGAGGACGCTACTCTTTCGCTACGGCTTACTTTTGTTTGTGCGTGTACAATACTGTATTGCTTTTATACCATGGCTTCGAAAAGAAAACGTGTTGTGCTATTGTTAGCGGACAAACTGAAAATTATAGAGCAACTCGATAAAGGTGTAACGGGTAAGAAGTTGTCTGAGATTTATGGTGTTGGACAAGCAACAATTTCTGACATTAAAAACAGTAAGTCAACACTTTTAAACTTTGTTTCGGTGCTTGAAAATGAAGATGGAAGTTCCTCCAGGAAAACAATGAAGACAGCAACCAACAAAAATTTGGAAGATGACGTGTTTAAATGGTTTTTGCAGCAACGTTCTATGGGAAATCCGATTTCAGGTCCAATCCTTTGTGAAAAAGCCAAAATCTTAGCAGAAAAGCTTGGTTATTCATCTTTTAAGGCTAGTAACGGCTGGCTAAGGAATTTTAAATTCAGGTATGGTGTACGCGAGTTAGATTTGGCTGGTGAGAAGCTTTCAGCAGACTCTGCAGCTGCTGAAAATTTTATTGAAAAATTTAAAACTGCATCAGAATCCTATGATCCGGCGTTTGTTTACAATGCCGATGAAACTGGCCTTGTTTGGAAAGCATTACCAAAAACCACTTTGGCTTCTAAAAGGGAATCTAGTGCCCCTGGACATAAGGTCAGTAAAGACCGTGTTACAGTGCTTAACTGTGCCAACTCCACTGGAAATCATAAACTGCCACTTCTTTTGATAGGTAAATCAAGAAATCCAAGAGTATTTAAAAACGTAAAAAAACTTCCACTCTTCTACAAAAGTCAACCCAAGGCCTGGATGACTGCAGCTTTGTTTACCGAATGGTATGATGAAGTGTTTATTCCTGAAGTGAAAAAGCACCAAAAATCGGTGGGAAAAGAAGGCAGTAAGGTGCTTTTAATTGTTGATAACGCACCCACTCATCCTACAGCAGAACTGTTGGAAAGAGGGAATGGGCAGTTTAAAACGACGTTTTTGCCTCTCAATGTTACAAGTTTGCTGCAACCCATGGACCAGTCTGTTATTGAAACAATGAAGCGCCATTACAGAAGGCAACTGCTGAGAAAACTGCTGATCGAAGGTGCTGAAGATGAAGAATTGGTTTTGGCAAATCATAGCAAAATAAATTTAAAGGACTGCTGTTACATGGTAGCGGAAGCTTGGAGTTTGGTTACGGCAATGACGCTAAGACGTGCGTGGAATAAACTGAAAGGCCTACCGTCTGAGAAGAACAAAAAAAAAGAATCTGAAGAAAATGAGAAACAAGAATATGGAGAGGATGATGATGATGAAGATGCGTTGTCACTAGAGGAAATAAGAAAAATGATTGTAAAAATTCCTGGTTGTACAGAAGTAAGTGCTGAAGATGTAGGAGAGTGGATGGCTTGTGACACGTCTGACCCTGGTTTTCAAATTCTCAATGACGATGAAATTGTTGTAAGTGTGAGAGAAGATGTTGAAGTAGACGCTGGACCATCAGCTAGTGAAGCATTTGCCGGCCTCGAGACTGCTTTGAAGTGGATGGAGCGTCAGCCCGAGTGTGACCACTTGCAACTGCTCACCGTCAAGCGAATGCGTGACCTGGCTGCCCGAAAACGGTTGAAGACCGCAAAACAGCTTACATTAACGGAGATTTTTAAAAAACAATGATTTTTATTTCTAAACTTGTACATAAGTACCTACATTTTATTTATATTTAAAACATGTGAAAATTTCATGTTTCATTCATTTAATTCAATAAAAAAATAGTGCAATATCAAAACGTAGCTTTTATTCTCTCCAATGGCAATTTTTTTTAAAAAAATCCGATTATCCGAATATTTGATTATCCGAATGGGTCCCGGTCCCCATTAATTCGGATAATTGGAGTTCTACTGTATTGGTTTTGTTGACTAAATTAATGCTGGACGCGGGATTTGTGAAAGCAGAAACTACAAAACTCTTTGACTTAGTAGGTACATTCATAACCTTAAAAATTGTATTTTTAAACTTTTAATATTATCAATGAGTACCTACTCACATCGAATTGATCTTTGCTAAAATAAAAAGACTTTCAGTCGATAAAGTTACAGGATTTAGCAAGTTTTAAGCATATGTTCATGTGTAACTATGTTTTTTCTCTTGGCAATTTAAACCACAACTTTTCTAGAGTCTTTTACCAAATGTATCATGATAACTACTATATTTTTCATGTGATCTATTAGAAATCATGGTTATATAATATTAACTTAGAAAGTTTATTTCCTACGTGCTTGCGAGTGTTTGTTTACACATGTTTTGACGTCATAGCATAGATAAGTCTAAAGACTAAAGAGCGTTTTCGTATGTCTTCTAGGTAAAAAAAAATTTTTTGATATATTTTGATAGAACAATTATTAACAATTTAAAACATAATTCCAAAAAGTGTCAACTAGCCCATTTAACAACAGTTTATCCTTGTCATTCTCTATACAGAATGAAAAAGAGGAGCCTGATGTTTAATAAAGTTTTAAATTTAGAGAACCATCCAGAATCGGCACCCACCAGTGTCTGTGTCTGATGGTAATTTTTTACCACAGCATGGTAAAATGCTTCCAATGCAGCGACTTCTCCATGAACTCTTTGTTCTATCTCCCGTTCTTAAACAAATTGTATAACAAAATACTCGTTTTATTCGGTTTCACCTAGCTTCTTCATTTCACTCAGAAAAAAGTACGTAGATCTACTTACTTTTCATATGCAAAATTTACCAATTCTACGTAATTTTCTCATCAGGCCTACGCCTTTTTCAAAATCCGAGTTGGCAACACTGCCATAGAGTACATTGTTAGAGGCTTAATGGTCTTTAGAGGCACACGCACAGAGCAAATAGGCTCGTTTTTTAGAAACTGTAATTTCGTACAATAATAAATAAGCTATTTTTATTCTATTTACAAATAAGATGGATGAATATGCAGCCGTTAAACGCGGAAAGCTTAATTTAAAAGGTGTTAAATCAAAGTATGTAATTCAAAACCGTATAGTTGTTTATAAAAATCATATATTTGTTTTGATAATAATAACATGGTAGTGGTTTTCATTTAAATTTTAGGGCCAAGAAGCGTAAACATAAAAAGACCGAGAAGTCTGAAGACTCCAAAGTAGACGAAGACGCCGTTAGACACGGCGGCTGGTGGAAAGTTTCCAAGATAGAGGATGTCACTGGATCAATATCCATTGAATTTGGGAACAATTCATACGTGTCTGCTCTAGACAATGGCCTTTTTACTATTGGTGCACCACACGGTGACTGCGAGGGCCCTTCCCCTGAAGAGATATTCACAGCATTTCCAGCAGGAGAAAATAAATTCGCTTTGAAATCAGGTTATGGCAAATATTTGGGAGTTTCTAAGGATGGTCTTGTGATAGGCAGGTCTGATGCTGTTGGGCCCATGGAACAGTGGGAGCCAGTGTGGCAAGATGGTAAGATTTTTAATAATGTTTTCTATAAAGCAATAATTACATAAATATTGTTATGTTAACAGAGTCATTTTTGTTAATATTAGATGTTAGTGTGTTTATATTTGAAAAAGAGTGGCAATAATGGCTTTCCCATTGGTGAGCAGTTAGTAGCTTCTACTTAGTGTCGCCCTAGAAATCTTATTCACCAACTGAAATAAAGGGGCAGGAAAATTGCCGACATTAACTCAAGAATGTGATTTGATACTCTTACCCTGAATATTTTGAAAGCATTTCTATTTTTTTATATTTATTTTTGACTTATTAATTTTGCAGGAAAAACAGCAATTTTGAGTTCTTTAAACAAATTTATGTCTGTTAATGAGGACGAATCTGTTGTGGCTCAAACTTCCTCTGCTGGAGATCAGGAGTTCTGCAGTATCCGTAGCAATAAGACTAAAGAAGTTAATAAGTCTGTACTTCCTGAAGAAGAGCAGGGAGACCTGGCAGAGGTGGAGGTTAATTATGTGTAAGTATTGTGGATTTTTCACTTCTTCCTCATGATTAGGGGCCGTTCAAGTATTGCGTAAGCAGATTTATCAGCAAAAGTAAGCAAAGCTCTTACTCCCCCCCCTCACGTGCTTACGTAAACATTGATACCTACATGCATTTTTTCCTTTAATGTATTCTGTTTTTTTTATTGATTCAGGAGCTTTCATGAGCTTCATGAGTTTCATGAGCATCAGTATTTAAATAGGCTTAGGATAGAGGACTTTAATACACTTATTATTCATTTAAAGAAACTTTATTGACACAGTATTCAACATAGAGTAAGGTACTATTACGAACAAAACAAACTTCTTTCGAATTTTTGGTATATGTATACAGTCTTCAGTCCATGACACCTGAATCCATGATGCTGACGTAATCACTATCTCAACCCCCACCCCCCCATATCATTCAAAATAAGCAAAGCAAAGACCTCCCTGCCCCCCTATAATGCTTACATAATACTTGAACGGCCCCTTATGGAATTTTAATAAATATTACCTCCTGTTGGACTAACTGCCTACTTGGTACAACTAACTCCTGGTTGTGTAGTTAGACCAGATAGAAAATTATTTCTGTTGAACAAACTAGTTAAAGTAGAATGTTTGTCCACCAAGAACATGGATTTTTTGGTTTGTGTTCCTGTGTAAAATATTATAACATTTAAAATCAACGTACCTATTTTTTTTTATAATAAAGTAACATGCAATACACTACGTACTCGTAGTATAGTACAAACACCTGTTACATTAGATATTTTTATTACCATATTATTTTTAATGCCTACTTAGCAATGGACGTTTGCATATCGCTACGATTTGGCAGCAGTTAAGCATGTGCATCTACATTTTTCTTTATAAATTTTATATTAGGTATCTAATTTACAGGAAAAAGTTCCAAAAATTTCAAGACAAGAAATTGCGAGTAAACGAGAGTGGAGTATCAGAGTTGAAGAAGGCCAAAGTAGATGGCAACCTGCATGAGACATTATTAGACAGAAGAAGTAAAATGAAAGCTGACAGATACTGTAAATAGTGTATGAATAATAGTTATGGAAATCAAGTATGACTTTTATTTTCAGTTTCTTATTTATTTCATAGCATACATAGTAGACAAAGGTGTCGATTCTGGTGTGATTCTCTGAACTTAAAACTAAATTTATAATCTTTCTGTCCTTTTCATTCTGTAGAGAGAATGACAAGGCTACACTGTTGTCAAATTTTTAGTTTAGGTTTAGAGAATCATGCTAGAATCGACACCAAAGTGTGTGCTTTTAATGAATTTGCATTTAACTATTTTTTCATCATTAAAAAGTATGTAAGTTATTATAAAAATCTCATTTCAAATCACCTCCGATAATGAGAATATAAGATTTTTCATCAGCCTATTAATCTCCACACTGCTAGGGCATAGACCTTCCCTATGGTAGGTATAAGGAGATTAGGCAATGACCCACCTTGTGGGACTAATGCTTGTTGCATAACATTTGCCAGTTCTCCAACTTATTAATACATCCTGAACTGCCGCTAATGGAAAGAAATATTGGACTATTAAACAGTTGCTCAAAATACAATTTCTCTATTTGATAGGTGGGTGTCAATGACTGCATAGCAACCAGGATCAACGGCTTTACTTACCTTCCAAAGTTTGAGATACATTTTTTGTAACCATTCTAGGACTAGCTATTGTGAAAGATACTTTACGTCCACGATTGGTTAATTAAATTTGGTCATAAATTAAGCTATCATCTACATCTCACGTTCTGCTGGAATGCAACGGAGTGGCCGAATACCGGGCGAAATACCTCAGCTCACCGGGAAACTTTCAAGAGGCAGTCACCAATGTGAAGGCCCTGGGGGCGTTCCTGGGGGAGCTGGGCTGGCTGGAGTGATTCCGGCCATACACCCTCCTCACGCAAAACAGGCGCCATAAGGACGTCGAATTGCGGAAACGCCCGTAGCAACAAGAAGAAGAAGCCATCACCTAATATTTGAGATAACACTATGATGGCCTGCCTAGACAAAAATCCCTGAATCCTGAAAAAATGGGCGCAAGGAACTTGCCACGGACTCGATGCACACAGTGTGTCATATTAGTTTTGTGATTTTTATATCTTTCTCCCTCCCTTGTCACAGTTGGTCACATTTGTGAGACCTTAGTAGTGTGATGTCACATATTTTGCATCTAGAAATTGGTGTCGATTCTAGCATGATTCTCTAAACCTAAACTTAAATTTGACAGCAGTATGTCCTTGTCATTCTCTATACAGAATTAAAAGGAGAAACTGATGTTAAATTAAGTTTTAAGTTTAGAGAATCTTAATTGAAAACAGCAGTTCGCAAATTAGTCAAGAAAACAAAATTAATGCCTTAATATAAATAAGTTACCCATAAAAGTTCAAAAGTATTAGATTTTGAAATGTGACGTCACGAAACGTAGCACCCCTCCTCCCTTACTTGTCACACTTCGTCGACCCCCTCTCTCCCCCATAACGTGTGATGTACTTTATGGATAACCCCTTATTGTTGTTCTTTTGTTTTTGCCTTTGATCACATTAAGAATTCATTTGAGTGGCTTTCTTTTTAATTATTTTCAGTACAGTATACAAGTCGCATAGCACTTACTTGTAGCAAAAGTGTACTGTTGATTGTTTTATTAAAAATCAACTTGGTTCAGTAAAAGTAAACAATGTAGTTCTGATATTCATTTATTAATTTCTCTGGTAATCTTCAGTACAATGGCCTAAACGCATCAAGAGTAATTTTGTATACACTGTTTTTACAGAGAAACGAAATTAATTCGTTATTACAATCATAGAGAATTTGAATATATCTACCTACATACCTTATATAAAACGATATCTACACCTAAACCTAAGTTATGTTAGACTAGACACAGACACCTAGTCTATTGGAACTTGATAGAGTAGCGGCCCCTTGGATACAGCACAATACACAAGATAGTAGTCTGCCATTCAGCATAGTATGCTAACGTTGCTCCTTTTAACGTAATGCTGTTCATTCATGTTATGTGATGCAACAAAAACTTCCACACCTGCACATTATACACTGTAATGAGGGTTTTTCGGAAAATTTACGCCAACAGTTGGCGCCACTGTGACATGGGGTCTTTCGTACGAAGTTTTTGGCGCGAATTAATCGAAAGAGCTTTTTTTTAGTTCTATTCTTGGAAGGGAAGGCAAAGCCATGAAGCCTCGTTTTGTATCAAATCGTCCTTTTTTTTTAAATTATTATGTTTATGTGACGCATTCTAATATTTCATGGAGTGTTTGGCATAAAATGCATCGAGTTTGCTTTCTCGACAAGCTTCTGTGAGGTAGTCAACACTACAATAAAGTTCTCACGCCCACCTGACTGGTATAGCGTATATTTCAAAGATTTCACTAATTCTTTAGTTGCGCAGACGATTGTAACACAAAATCACATCAATTTTATTTCACACTATGAACGAATTTAAGAATAATTAAAATAAGACGCCAACTGCACTCGATGAAATCCCGCCAAAGACCATTTAAATTAATCCATAGACTATGATGATATATAGGTGATTTGACGGATGAGTAGACCTTTCGTCTCAGTGTTGGCACCTGGCGCCCGTCATTACAGAAAACCCCCATTATACATTACACTCGTTTATATTTTCATACATGTACCTATATTTCATTTTACAAAAATATCAAAATATGTTACAGGTGAAATGATATACTTTCCAGTGAGTATACATTTTCTAAGTGTATTAATTTGTAACATACATATTTTGAAGTCTGTGTTCTGGCCCACTACTTCTGTATATTTCTTTCGGTTCTCGCATTTGGTCATACTAAAAATGAATCAGCTAAAGCAATGATCCCCACCAAAGTATAAAAATCCATTGTTAATTCACTGGTGCCCTTGAAGGGCTGCAATACTTGTAACAGTTGTACTATTTTTAAAGTAAAAATATTATAATTCGGTGGGCAAATTAATAAATTAACTTAAAAATTGTTTTGACAGATTTTAGGAGTATTTGAGAGATTGCATACATATATCAAATTGACATTATATTCTATAAATCAAACATCACCTAGTACTACATCGACCTTCACCGAGTTGATAATAGAATGAAACATATTTTATCATGAATTTAGTATATTAGAAAATTTATTAAAAATGAGTTGCCTAAAAAAAATCATCAATCATAAAATAAAATGTTCTTTTATCAGCTCGGTGAAGGTTGATGTGGGTTCGGATCTTCTACTATAGATATTTCCAGATAATAAACATAATATACATACATACATCTAAAATACATACTAAAAATATACAACAAAAACTTAACACTAATACGTAAATGAGGAAAATATTATATAAAATAACATAATATGCATTATTTACTGACCCATAAGGATGAAATTACAGAGAAAACTGGGATAACATAGGTACACAAATATTGAGTACGTTATAGTGATGTTTGGTGCCCTTGTATACATATTAACAATTTGTCATCAGAAGAGCATGAAGAAGTGTGACTAAAACAAAACTCCTATTAAACTATGAAATAATAATATTGTGTAAGTAAATGTGTCTAAATTAAGTGCATGTTGAATTAATAACCGAACTACTTAGTTAAAACCTCGTTGAATAATCGTTAATTAAATCTGTGAATATTCAAAGAAAAAATATAAGATCTTCAACTATTATAACCTTACAAGGTATAATACAAACGGGGTGATATAGATCCCTATGAAGGTATTAAAGAAAACATATTCGAGAGAAACTATAAATATGACAAAAGTACTTTTTCTAATTTCTCAATCATATTAAATATATATATTTACATATACATGTATATTTGAATATATGTCATCGTTAACATAGTATTTCAAAGTATAAACAGTCATAAGACTTTATTCGTTATGCGTATCGATCTATCTACATCTAAGTTAGTTATCTTTGAGATTGTAGCTTCGCATTTTAAAAACTTAACTGACATTCAATGCTACGCAGAATCAAACAATTTATAATAAATGGATTCCACATAGAATTTCCATGTAACTCATATGCAAAAGTTATAATTGTTTATACAGATGAAACCAATACAAAGATTTCTTATAACTAAAAATAAAGTGCATTTAATTTATACAAAAGTGGTTTTGCTATTTCAAAAAAGTCAAACTATCGGTTCAGCGTGATTAAACCTAACGGGAATCAATACTAACTGCCAATCAGTCAAAGGCCACAACCATGATTTCAAATACCTAACTATCACATCACAAAGACAATGTTACATTGTTATTACAGCTTTAATAAAGCCTCGGTAACACAGCCACATTCCCAACAAATGTTAAAACTATAGTGCTTCCTTATTTTAAAATTGGCAGTTTACAAGATATTTCAAATACAATTCAGAACTTGGCTTAAATTTCCACATTTCAATATTACACACCTTTGCTGACTGGCAGTAAAAAGAATACGGAACCATTGAAGGGTATATTATATTTTATTTATTATACAATTATACATAAGTAGTCTTTTTGTAGTCAAAATGTAGTTTATATATATTTTTTTTTGGGACATATTTGTTAATTACTGTTTGAGTTATTTAGGCGAATTGCAGCGCAAGGAGTGCTGGGCGATCATTGTAGGTTAGTAAAAATAATGACATTCTAATAAGTGAAAAACAATTACAAAGCAATGTTATAATAATATTTTGTCACATTTTAATGGTTGTATAAGTCACATGACGCGAATTCAATAACAGGTTGTGTATGAAATGTTTGTGCAAATAAAAACTAAATATACCTAAATGTAATCGTGTAAAAAATGCTAACGGTTTTTTTTTATTATTTATTTGATAGCTTTTATGCTATAACATATTTTTTTGTATCTGGCACGGAAATTATATACAAAAGCAAGAAAACAAAACCATTTTATGTAAAATTCATATTTTACAACCCAATAAGTTTTGATATCTCCCTACTGATTTGACATTTACATAGAGCTGAAAAAGACTTTTATTAACATTTATTTTGCTCCATGAACAGTTTAAAGTTTAAATAGAATTCATCGAATTGAAAATTGATTTCGGATCACAAATGTTTGAAGTATAAACTCAAGTAGTAATTTTTTTTTTTAATCAAGAATTTATGTTAGGTTTATTTGATAGATGACAAAGTAATATTCTTAATATAAAAATAATTTTATATATAAACTTATTCATTTAAACAAGGCCAGTCTATACATTTACAATAATATGTTTCATCTGAGAAAAAAAAACCAGGCCATAAATGTAAGAGATAAGGTCATCAATTTCATATATAATCTTAGCAACTGAACCATGGCATCACTTACTATGGATAGGATATTGTTTATCAAATTAACCCGAGTAACAAATTCCAAAGCCTATATAACAATTGAAAGTTGAAATTAAGATCATCAGGACCCCCAAAAAAGAAAAGAACAATTATATTACCTTTATCAATAATAAATTCAAATGATACATGGTTCATCGAAAAGCAAACCATTAAATCAAGTCTAGAGGATTGGGCTGCGTTCAAATCTACACATTGGGTGCAATTTTTCACTGGGACGTTTGAATTTTGTCATAAAATGCATGAAACTAACACAATTTTGACATAGCACATTCAAAGGTATCATAAATATGTTCCGACTCAAGTACATAAGCAACTCTCACACACGCACACTTCTGTAAAAATAATTGTACGCTTCAAAAAATGATTTTACAGTTTTACGAATGAAAAGTGTTGCCGAGGCATTGGTTATTTGATTTTGAACTATTTGTGTTTTTTATAAAAGCATCTAAGGCATTGTTTTATCTTTATAACACAATGTACGCAATATTGTTATATTGAGTGCACATGTAGCGTGTTTAAATGTCCAATTGTGACTAAAGCGAATTGTGGTCATGCACCACAATTTAAGCGGATCACTTTTGTTTTAATCTAAGATTATCGGTAAAAAATACTGTTACGTAGACATAGCGTTCAAAACTGGTACTTCGCACCCAATACATAAACTATTTAATGGCATATTTACGATAGTACATTCAAAACGTTAATCACATGTCACAAAGCAACGAATCCATGGCATTAATTATATTGCTTTCATTCATATTGGACTTGATAATTAATTTTGCACAAATATTTTGTCCTGTATTGGGAAACGACGAAATATGTTAAAATTAATCAGAAGTATTAAATTTTCGATGTCTCATTCGCACAATTATCTTATATAAGTTACAGTGAAGCTTAATTATATTATTAAGCTTCACTGTAACTTATTTTGGTCGCATAGTGATTTTATTTTGTACAGCACCAAAGTTTATATTCTATTTATTCTTTGTCTTTAGGGACGTATCTATGAATTTAAAATAATTCGAAAGAATGTCTTTTTAAATTTTTCGTACAGAACATGTATGGTTTTAGGAATAGAAATGAAGATTTTTTTTACGCTACTTCACAAATGCTTTTCCTGCGTACTCAGCATAAAATATTATCGAAAATTACTCAAAAACAAAATTGATTGAGATTTCACATTTTTATTTCATTTGGGCGGGAAGCACATGTCTACAGATAATACAATGCTTGAAACATTTTAATGGTGCTTTACATTCTTGGCATACAGTCTCAGCTGTAGTTGTAAACTTTGGCGTATTTTTTTGTATACAATAAGTGGCAGCATGGAGGTTAGTGCGTCTAGAAGGGCTTTGATAGGTCACGAAAACTACCCTCGTCTCTTTTTGTCTATATATTCGTGTATGCTATTTGTAAACTTGACACCAGTCTGTCCTTTTCATTTCTTTTAAAAGAATGAGGGTTTTCAAAAAGTTTTGGTACTAAATAGCGCTTCTGTAACATGAGGTCCTAGAAATGAAGTTATTGGCGCCAACAAGGAATACATATGCATGCATTTCAAATAAGGCTCAATTTCTTTTATATAAACTCCTAAGAAAAAATATTGATGATGTTACAGTTCAAAAGTATTTGAAAAATTATTAGTTAGATTTGCGAACCGATGGCGTAGCTTTTCGACATTCACAAGTGCTTGTAACAGCCTAGACTGAATAAACGATATTGAATTTTTTTTTTTTAATTTTGAACTCAATCAATACATCATCAATATTTTTTAAATAAAATTTCTTTTTGAGCAAGAAGTTAATTGGCACCAATAGGGAATACATATGCATGCATTTCAAATAACGCTCATTTTCTTTCATATAAACTCTATAATTTTGGACTGTCCCATCATCGATATTTCTTTTTAAATAAAATTTCTTTTTGAGCAAGAGATTAATTATTGAAAAGTGCGATTAATCTTTGGGAAATTCAAATATCTGAAACGCGGCAAAACTGTTGTGACGTAAAAATACATTATAAATGAGCAAACAAGCGCCATGTTCACATGATATATCAAAATCAACGAGACCTAGAGCGAGCGTTAATTTGAGTGAGCGCGCATCATACTGTGGACTTGTTTGTTTTGTTGCTAGGTTGTTATGGACTGTGACGTCAAACCAAAAGTTTCAAAATAGCGAGCGTTTATAATGCCCGTGCAAAGTACCTATTTTTAACATTTTTTTACACTTAGGGTTACCATCCGTCTGGATTAGTCCGAGAATGTCCGGACTTTTAGACTGTAGTCCGAACTTTGTTAGGATCTTCAAATTGACCGTATTTGTTTCTTAGGTTTTCACGCACATCACTCATTAAATATTTTTTTTTGAAAAAAAGAAAAAAGTTTGATTCTGACGACGTAGCCTGTTAAGGCTACGAAACGTCAATAAATAAATAAAGTTTCGTGCATTAACCCGTAAAAACTAGTTTTATTTGACCGTATTTATTAAATTACATTAAATATGAATAAAAAAAGTACATATTGATTTAAATACCATACCATTGTAACTTAGTGAGGAATGGTACCATTTTGGGATTAAAAAGTCTGTAATTTACAGTCAATGTCAGGACTTTTGAATTTCCCAATGGTAACCCTATACACACTAGACAATTTTTTCGTCTTCGAATATAATGGGAATGTAAACTATGAAATAAATATATAAAAAAAACATACATATTCCCTATTGGTTGATCATCACAATGATCAACTTTTTAGTGTACCCACTGCTGGGGCACAGATCTTCCCTATGGATGGAATAGGTAGTTGATTTTTTCAGACAATAAAACGTAAGCATTTGACGGATTTGCAGAGTTGGACCTCTCGCCTTAGTGCTGCCATCTAGTGTCCATCATTTCAGAAAACCCACGTGACATTATCATTTGTTTATTAAAGGAAAGGTTCATTTAACATAAACTATATAGAGGCACTTTTAAATACAAAAATGAACGAAGAAAAATGTGACAATGATATAGTTAATCCGACTCCCCAATCATAGTACTAGGAGACAGCTTTTAACCGATTTTAAGCAAAAGGGCAGGTTCTGGTTTCTGTCTGTATATATTCATTTATATATAAATATGTACGAATAGGTCAGGAGGGAAATAAAATAGTTTTTGCGGTTCCCCATTGCTAGTACCAGACACTCCGTTAACCGTTCAAGCAGAAGAGGATGTTCTGCTTGTATTTTTTTATCCTATAGTATTATTGTTTGTTATTTGACTGACTTTAAGCAAAAGAGGTGGTTTTGTATTCAGTACTGTAAGTATTCATTCCTATATAAATATGTTTATGTTGGGAGGAGAGAAATGTGACGATGATATAGTCTCCATACTAGACATTCTGTTTACCGATTTCAAGTAAGAGGAGGTTATGTATATATGGATTGTTGTTTAAGTATTATATGTATAGTATATGTTAGTGTTGAGTGTCCGTTTGTGTTACATCCCAGAGAGGTTCTGTATTCGTCCTGTATGCATTGATTGTTATATATATATATATGTATGTAATGATATAGTATATGTTTGTGTTGAGTGTCGGTTCGTTACGTCTCTCAGCTAGCGGGCGACGTAAAGAGTTTTGTATTGTTCCTGAATGTGTTTATTGTTATATATACATATATATGTATGTAAAATATAGTACATATATGTTGGTGTTGTGTGTCGGTTGTGTTACATCCCAAAGAGGTACTGTATTCGTCCTGTATGCATTGATTGTTATATATATGTATGTAATGATATAGTATATGTTAGTGTTGAGTGTCGGGTTGTTACGTCTCTCAGCTGGCGGGCGGCATGGCGGCGTCGGGCGCCCTCTCCGCACGCAACCATTCCACGAATTCGTCTAACATCACCGGCCCTGCGATGGAAATGTTCATTTCAATAATATCATCATCATCAGCCTTATAATATCCCCACTGCTGGGGCACAGGCCTTCCCTATGGATGGAATAAGGAGTTTGGGCCATGACCCACCACGCTGGCCCAGTGCGGATTGGTGGGTGCTAACGACAGCAGATGCAGCCGGGGCCAACGGCTAAACGTGCCTTCTGAAGCACGGAGGAGCTCGAGATAGTGAATTTTTGGTCACCCATCCAATGACCGACCACTACGAAAGTTGCTTAACTCCAACATTTATTGATCATTACATAACTTCCATGGTCACTAACATAATACACTTCCGGATACATCTATTGGCCCACCTAGCCTCTTAAGTTTAGTCGGTCCTTACTCACTACATAGTACAAAGTAAAGTCGCTTCCCTTTGTCTGTCTGACCCTATGTATGCTTAGATCTTTAAAACTACGCAACAGATTTTGAATTGATAGAGTGATTCAAGAGGAAGGTTTATATGTATAATACATGCATAATATAGTAGAGAAACACTGATAATTTTAGAGGAATTAAGGTCGTAAATAAACACTTTTTTTGCGCCTACATTGCAAACGCTCGCTGAACCCTACAAGATAGACCAAAATAATATATACTACAGTATTGTACACCTTAAAAATTTCTACAAAAAAGTCCACTTTTCTTTAGAGCCTTAATACGAATTTCGCCATGTGGATGTTTTACTGTGACCACAACGCGTTGTGAGCTATTTTTCCGCTCACTGAGCGTTTTCGATCTTTGAGCGTAACATATATAAAGACATTCTGTAGTATATTTAGTATCAGCATTGCACCCGTGCAAAGCTGGGGCGGGTCGCTATTATAAATAAATGTTACATTGAGTAAAAATTTATAACCTATGCAGTTTTGAAGCTGATTTATTAACCATCTTTTCGTATATGTTTATAAAATTATTGCTCAACCATGAACATATCGTTACGTGTCGGGATGGGGTTCCAAATTATATTCCAGTTCACGCTTGACAGTTATTTATTCACCGCAAAGTTAACACACAATGTTAATCACAAACCACTCACTAAACACTGTACTTCACTATTCAAGCCTTTAAACAATCGCACTTGAACACTTTGCTTGCACTTTAGTCACTTTTTTGCAAATCAAACAAATTGCTGTTGAAACTCAACTGTCTGTATCGCGCTTATATTCGCCAATCGACGCATTCTAGAAAAGCCCCGTTAAATTGAGAGTTAACTAGCACCCGCGAGTGCGTAGTACCTACTTATACGCAGGTAATGCGCATAAGTTGTAAACAAGTACAGATGTCGTTGCACTTTCTCCCTTACTCCGCACTGCATAAGGCTCATATTAGAATGAGCTACCACTCGACCTTTATCGCGATTACCGGCGTTCTGGTAAATTCTGTCTCTAGTATTTTCGCGGTTTTGTTTCGGGAGCGTTTATGACAATACATTTGTACTACAGACCGTTGAAACTTTAAACACTAAGTGGGCTGATAGATTTTTCCGGTATAGTAAAGAGTGCCGAAATATTGGAGACTCACAAAAAACAAGACAATCCCGTTATAATTAACGGGATTGTCTAAGTACACTACTACTACTTCTTTCAAATGTTTATTTTACTTTACTTGTAAAGTATTCATTTGACATTGTGGGTTCCAATTGTTCCCTATAATGCGAAGAGATGGCGCTGCCTTGCAGCTTAAGAATGGCTAGAAGAATTTTCGACGCGGCCGTCAGGGCCGCGGTAGCATAATTGGTCGGTGCATTCGCCCGGATAGCGAAGGGTGCGGGTTCGAGTCCCGTCTGCTGCCTGGTCCAGTTTCGAGTTATAAATATATTTGTATATAAAGATCCACGACTTAGGTACAAAGGCTCGTATTCATCATAGTAACATTTGCGCCCACCGAGATTCGAACCCGTGACTCCGAGTAGGCAATATCTCCGGGCACGGAGGTCGTCTTTATAATATTAGTAGGTATATACTTACCGACCGCATCGTAAGCAGTGAGTTGCACCCACAGTGCGGCTAAACTCCAGTATGGTGCACCGTGCACCACTGGTCGCTAATAATGATAATATATATATATATATATATATATATATATATATACTTATACGCGCCGTCCGCATCGTAGACAGTGAGTTGCATCCACAGTGCGTCTAAAGTCCAGTAGATTGATATTATATACTTACACGCGCCGTCCGCGTCGTAGGCGGCGAGTTGCATCCACAGTGCGTCTAAACTCCAGTAGATTGTAACAACTGGTCGCTAATAATGATAATATTGGAGTCGATTCTGAGATGCTTCTCTAAACTTAAAACTAAATTTAACATGAGTCTCTCTTTTTTTATTCTGTATTGAGAATGACAGGAATATACTATTGTCAAATTTAGGTTTAGAGAATCATGCCAGAATCGACACCTTTATATATATAAACTTACACGCGCCATCCGCGTCGTAGGCGGTGAGTTGAGCGTCCACAGTGCGGCTAAAATCCAGTAGATTGTAATCACTGGTCGCTAATAATGATAATATTGAAGTAGATTCTGAGATGCTTCTCTAAACTAAAAACTTAATTTAACAACAGTCTCTCTTTTTCATTCTGTATTGAGAATGACAGGAATATACTGTTGTCAAATTTAGGTTTAGAGAATCATGCCAGAATCGACACCTTTATATAAACTTACACGCGCCGTCCGCGTCGTAGGCGGTGAGTTGAGCGTCTACAGTGCGGTTAAACTCCAGTAGATTGTAACCACTTGTCGCTAATAATGATAATACTGGAGTCGATTCCGAGATGCTTCTCTAAACTTAAAACTAAATTTAACATCAGTCTCTCTTTTTCATTCTGTATTGAGAATGACAGGAATATACTATTGTCAAATTTAGGTTTAGAGAATCATGCCAGAATCGACACCTTTAAATACATAAACTTACACGCGCCGTCCGCGTCGTAGGCGGTAAGTTGAGCGTCCACAGTGCGGCTAAACTCCAGTAGATTGTAACCACTGGTCGCTAATAATGATAATATTGGAGTCGATTCTGAGATGCTTCTCTAAACTTAAAACTAAATTTAACATCAGTCTTTCTTTTTCATTCTGTATTGAGAATGACAGGATTATACTGTTGTCAAATTTAGGTTTAGAGAATCATGCCAGAATCGACACCTTTAAATACATAAACTTACACGCGCCGTCCGCGTCGTAGGCGGTGAGTTGAGCGTCCACAGTGCGGCTAAACTCCAGTAGATTGTAACCACTGGTCGCTAATAATGATAATATTGGAGTCGATTCTGAGATGCTTCTCTAAACTTAAAACTAAATTTAACATCAGTCTTTCTTTTTCATTCTGTATTGAGAATGACAGGATTATACTGTTGTCAAATTTAGGTTTAGAGAATCATGCCAGAATCGACACCTTTAAATACATAAACTTACACGCGCCGTCCGCGTCGTAGGCGGTGAGTTGAGCGTCCACAGTGCGGCTAAACTCCAGTAGATTGTAACCACTGGTCGCTAATAATGATAATATTGGAGTCGATTCTGAGATGCTTCTCTAAACTTAAAACTAAATTTAACATCAGTCTTTCTTTTTCATTCTGTATTGAGAATGACAGGATTATACTGTTGTCAAATTTAGGTTTAGAGAATCATGCCAGAATCGACACCTTTATATAAACTTACACGCGCCGTCCGCGTCGTAGGCGGTGAGTTGAGCGTCTACAGTGCGGTTAAACTCCAGTAGATTGTAACCACTTGTCGCTAATAATGATAATACTGGAGTCGATTCCGAGATGCTTCTCTAAACTTAAAACTAAATTTAACATCAGTCTCTCTTTTTCATTCTGTATTGAGAATGACAGGAATATACTATTGTCAAATTTAGGTTTACAGAATCATGCCAGAATCGACACCTTTATATATATATATACTTACACGCGCCGTCCGCGTCGTAGGCGGTGAGTTGAGCGTCCACAGTGCGGCTAAACTCCAGTATATTGCACCACTGGTCGCGGTTGACGACCCGGTACCGGCGCTCCCTTTGTAAGAACTCCCCTAGCGGCGGCCGGAGAGGCCAGCGCGGTAATAAAACGCCGAGCAACGCCCGAGCGGTGCTGGTGTCTAGTGAACGCTGATCCTTATCCTGGTAATCAACAATTATCGATCGTTTAACAAACAGTATAGTATAACAAACATCCGAAGACTAGCGATGCGCGACTACGAATGATTTTACCTTTCGACTAATTCATAATTACTAATTCGGCTATTCGATAGGCAAATTAGTGGTATACTAATGTAATTTTTCTAATAACGACTACTAATTAGTAATACTAATGTCAAATTTACAAGAGCGCAACAAATAAGGTTAGGTTATTCATTCGTTCGTTCATCATTTGCCTTAGTTCAGTTGGTTTCTGTACGTTCGTACGGTGGCGCCTGCCACGATGGTTTTGTATCTGTTATTATTTTTGCAGTGAAAACTATATTAACCAGTGAATTTGTTTATTATTTTTAATATAAAGAGTTCATATATCGATCTAATCGTTAAAAAACGATTGAAAGTAGTACCCTTAACCCTATTGACTCTTCTCATCTCTTTCACTCGTTGAGTTCGCCCGACCATGCCCGAGTCAACCCGGTTTTTTCGGTCGAAGTGTCAGTTAATAGCCGCCCAATATCCTCGACTCCAGTCGAATCATATATTATTATTGTATACAGCGCAGTCGACTTGGTCGAATGATTAGTATTAGTATTATTCGAAGTCGCGCATCGCTACCGAAGACACATAATTTCCTATTTTAAAAATAAAATTAGGGCGAAGTATTTCATAGTTTTCGGGAGTTTTATTATTAATATTGTTTATTTAGTTAAACCTACACAAAAAAAATATGTGTAGACTTATTGTTCATATGTTTTTGTTAAATGGAAAATTTATCCTATGGAACAGACATGATGTAAATTTATTTTATACTTTTAAATATTTTATTTGTTCACGAAAGTTGTATGAGAACAATTAAAATGTATTTACAAATAAATATTTTAATGTTACGGATTAGTGCCAAATTATTATACATATTTATGGGCATTTTTTTAGCCATAAATAGAGGGGACACATCAGTTCATAAAATTACAGAAAGAGTTACTCACCCTAGCAAAATCATAAGAATATCTGTAAACAGCCTTAAATATATAGGGGTCATTCAGTAAACTGCGTAAATATTCTAATTTGTTCTGCAATTTGTGAACACTGTCGCATTGTAACTCCGTTAACCCTGAAAATAATAACCATAATTACTAGAATAGAATATTATATTTATAGAATAATTTATAATTTGCATTAACAATTCAACATTTTTCTTTCTAGTTTTAAATAAATAATATTCAAAATGGAAATTTTAGTAGAAAATTGACATTGTTTTTTATTTTCAATTTCTTAGACAGCAGCCTACGTGTATCATGAGAAGTCATTACTTTTACTTAAGCCATTGCTTTGTATCAAAATTGACAGAGAGAAACAGTAATTTTAGTAATAATCTATTTTAAATAAAACTAGTTTTAATGGGTTAATGCATGAAATTCGAGCTACCTTCGAAAGACTTTCGAAGCTTGACAACGTAAAAAAAAAATATATCTGACAATGCAGTTCTGAAAAGGCTGCCAAACGTCAATAAATAAATAAAGTTGGTGCATTACCCGTTAAAACTAGTTTTATTTAATGAGTGATGTGCATGAAAACCTAAGAAACAAATATAATAATCTATTTTGTTCATCATAAAATAAAACTAAAACAAATATGAAGTATGAATACAATAATCAATGTTTTTGTCCAATGATTGATACAAACAATATCCTTTTAAAATGGAAAGATAGATAAAGAAATAACACTTACCCTTCAACCATTCTTCTTGAGTGAAGTAGCCCATTTGTTTTGCTCCCATTTTGTAAGCAATTACTAACATCACTACATTTTCTGGATCCACTCCTAAATCCTCGCAAAACTTTTCCATTCCTTCAGGACCTTGGCAAACATAAAATAATTTAATTTAGACAATATTGTTTTAACATTTTGATGTCATCATCATCATCATCATCATCAGCCTATTAATGTCCCCACTGCTGGGGCACAGGCCTTCCCTATGGATGGAATAGGGAGATTGGGCCATGACCCACCACGCGGGCCCAGTGCGGATTGGTGGGTGCTAACGACTGCAAATGCAGCCGGGACCAACGGCTTAACGTGCCTTCCGAAGCACGGAGGAGCTCGAGATAGTAAATTTTTGGTCACCCATCCAATGACCGACCACTGCGAAAGTTGCTTAACTTCAACGATCGCAGCCGAACGCGCTAGCCACCTGCGCCATCGAGCTCCTCATTTTGATGTATTAAGCAAATAACAAAACATTTATCTATCAAAACAACTATGACAAAATACAAAGTCATTTGTAATTTTAATAGCAATTATTTCTTAGTAAAATAAATTACTTCTGGGAGCGGATCTAAACACACAAACCTATATGAGGAAATGGAGTTACATGAGTGACTTTATATCATCGTCATAGTGGAAAAATTAAATAATTAACATTTTTTTTTTAAATTAAAAATGAACATAACTTTTTACTGTCAAGACTGTTGTTTATTTTTAATTCATACCGACTCTGGGAATAAAAAAAAAGTTGGGTTTTGTTATTTATTCAATTCTTCCACTATGGTGATGATATTGATGTACATATCTTATGTTTTTACTTTGTGACAAGTAACAATCATTTGGACTAGAATAGTTTAATAACTCACCTAATACATCTGGTTCTGTTACTGTTGTGTATTCTTTAAACCAAGTTAAACATTTCTTTGCACTAAAACTAGTGTCTTCTGCTTTGGAATGTCGACGTGAGCTGTAAATTAAATAAACACATCATAAAACATTATATATTGGACGAGTCCTTGGTACGGTCTGGGGTCTGATTGCCGATAGAAATTTATCATTATCAAAGCTATGTTACTTCATATCAGTTACATTTCAAATGTGTATTAGTATACAATTTATATGTAAAAATTAACAATAAATTATCACTAAATTAATCTAATTAGTATTTCGTGATATGGATCCTTCTTAGGTAAAAGCCGCCTCCATCGGTTTCTAATTATTTTTAATTATTCTTGGCATGTTCCATCCAGTTGTTTCCTGCGACTGATTTAATGTCATCTTCCCATCTCTTCTTCTGCCTGCCTATATATCTTTTAAGGCTGATTTACACTTCGGTAAGTACAGTAGTGAGTTAACTTATGGTCTTGGTGAGTTAAGTTCCTATCATTGTTTGAATAAGGATTTGCTGGTTAGCTACATAGTGATTAACTGTCCTCTTTCTAATCTTGCTACTGTACTTGCGGAAGTGTAAATCAGCCGTTACTAATAGGGCTTTTCCATTTAGTTGTTTGTATTGTCCATCTTTTATCTTTGTATCTTGCGATATGTAGAACTCAGTCGATAGAAATACCTACCTGCTATTTCTCGATCTCTTGTGATGATGATGTTCGTCTATAGTGGTGGCTCCGGGCAGGACTTCGCCCCCGTTGGCGGGGGCGCCACTTCGTGTGCGTTTGCTGCAACGAGGCATCGCTCTACCACCCTATCATACAACATTATTTCTAAATTTAATAATAGGTACACAAAGCAGAAAATAAAGGAAGCATGATAGATAAACTTTATTTCACACTAATGAATGGCCTGTCCTCCATAGCTATGGTGTAGTCTGTAGATTATAGTTTTTGTTTATTATATTTAAAAAAACCTTTTGTGAATTGCAATCTAACCCAATCAATGGTGAAAAATCCATCAAAATCTTACCAGGAGACTACATTTTCCTCCTAGAGTTAGTGAATATATAGTCAGAGCAGATTAAGTATATCATGTTATATTTCATACTATGTTAAAATACAGATACATACCAAAAAATCAATTACTGAAGTCAAACATGATACAAATAGCTATACCTGCTACAGCAGAACCTAGCACAAAAGAATAATGTAATTTGGTTGTACTTAAGTTTTCAGTAAGATGGAAGATACTTCCACAGACAAGCACTTCCATTCAATGAAAAACGTTTTTTTTTACATTTTACTATAATAGGATAACAAAAGAAGTTGCATAGTTTTTTTCTAAAATAATTAATAAAATTTAAAAAGTAAACCTTAACTCACAATGCAGTTAAGGTAAGTAAGGTAACAAACAATCAAGGATAAGTATATATATTCCAAAATGCTTACAAATATTAAAAATATGGTTGTTTGAATCATTTTTGTTTTGAATAATACTAATATAATTTGTATTCATAAAGCAAATCATCAAGAGGGTCAATAATTATAATAATAATAAAACTTTATTTCAGACTACTGTCCAGTCAATAGGGCAGATCATTCAGGTTTGGTCATAGATGGATTGGATTTCATTTCCAGTAGCAGGAAAATTTTTGTTTTTCACCTTTATAGCCTGCTCAGACGAGGGCCTTTTGTCCACCGTAAAAGATTGCAACTGTGTCAAGTAACGCACACAAAGAATTTAAAATACATAATAAAAGATTAGATATAGAAAAGTCCCCCCAACTATGGATAAAGGCACATGAAATCATTATAAAATTTTAAAAAAAATGGGGAAAAAAGAACTTTATATGAAATATCAGAAAATGAGTGACCGAAAAGACAATGGCGAAATATTATATTACGATTGTTTTAGCATATACAGATTTCATCATCAGAAATGTAAATAATATAATCTTATTGGATTTATCAAATAATTGGGGAGGGTTGTCTAAAACTGGATTTAAAAACTTAAAGACAAGTAATCACATTTTTTATTGTGGCTTAGCATCATGTCTTTCATGCCTACTATTTTCAGTGATTTCATTCATTCAACTTCTAGGATGTTGTTCATATGTTTAGCATGCATCACATTACACTGATTATTTCAGCTATATATTTCAGAAGATTGTGAAACATTGTTTTATTCTATATTATAGAGAAAACATAATAAGTAATATCAACTTTACAAATAAATTATCAATCCGATATAAACTGATAGACCCAGTGTTCCATTTTAGAATGTCTTCTCTCTTTCTTAAACTTCATGTTAACAACAATACATTGTTATCTCAGAATATTTCTTCCATAGCGTGTGCCTCACAAAATTTTCAGCACAAGTGACAAGTCCACACCAGACAATTTTCTTAATAACATGGAGATAAAAGTCTGTCGCCTGCACAGGCTATTAGAGCAAATAAGTATTAGTAAAAGAACATTTCCCAAAAAAAAAATGGTTGCCTGTAAAGTCGGTTTTACGGGCGAAGATTTTACGTGACAACGTCTTTTTCTCGGTAGAATATTTATTGATATGAATATAATTAAATTGCACAATAGGAACAAGGAATTGAATGAAAATAAGAATTGCACAAATTTTAACTATAGAAATATATTTTGTTTACTAAAACATTGTACATGTAAACTTAAACTTAACACGAGAGACTCATCGTAACGTTACCGAGCGTTACACTTTTTCATAAGTGACTCCCAGCCGCAACCTAATTTAAGACGTTGTCACGTCAAAAATTACTTGTCTGTAAAAATATGTCAATAGCAACATCTAAAAACATTTTATATTTAGGGTATCTGATTATTCAACCACTCAAGTTTCCAATGATAGTCTTATGCAAAAGTTAGTTTGTTATTAAGATTCATGAAACAAGTGTTGTTTTACACAAAGCAGAATCTACAAGAGTTAAACACTGCTGCTATGTAGCTATAGCATTGACACAACACAATCATATGACAATATTGAGGTTATGCCCACCTATACTGATGTTTTGTTTCTTGTTAACAGGTAAATTATTGTCTTTCATAGAATGTAATAAGATCAAAAACATCATAGATGTGCATTGATAATACACGACGAGCAGCACTTTGTTTATGTTATTCTTTCATTGAATTCACCTTTGAAATAGCACTAAAGATATGTTGAAGTTAATCATTTAAAATCTGATGAAGCTGTATTGCATTAATACACTTACGATTGGTGGCAGATTCGATATAAAATTAGAAAACTTGAAGGGGTTTTCGTCTCCTATTTTGCGAATTTTGCGAGAACAGCTTATTGAAAATGTCTTCTTGACAGGTCGATAGTAACCTGAAATAAAAAAATCAATGTGAGACAAAAGTGAAAAACGACCGACAGCGAGTTAATATAACGTTATAGCCCCAAAAACAATTTTACAATTATTAAACAGGTAAAAAAATATATATACAAAAAAAAGATACAAAGATCCAGATTAGCACAGATGTTTTAGTCGATATTAGCTTACCAAGTATGTGTATGTTTTATGTATTGACAAATTACTTATTTTACACACTCTTCAGAAAATGAAATAAACGTGTGCACTTTGAAGGTAATATTCTAAAACGTAAAACAGAAATTGATAAACCAAACAGCAGACACAGCGAGCGGCTGAGAAAACTCAAAACGAATTGGACGTTCCGTTTCATGGCTATGGCTTAAAGTGAGATTGAAACAGGTACAAAATTTTATTATTATAATTAACAATTTTACTACACCGTGTTTAATATCACCAAGATTTAATCATATAAACTATTTTTTTTATTTTTTTTATATGTAATATAAAAATAAGAAGTAAACCGTTTTGTCAAACCTAGAATTGTTCGAAACGAGAAACGGAACGATTTTTGCTTGATCTTTTTTTATAGGCGTTTTGTTAATCAGTAGTAATAAGTTCTTGATGGTTTGAAACATTATAAAAAATCATATATAATAAATAAATTTAAGAGGCACACATTTTTACAGAGTTATTTTTTTATTTTTCAATCTTAAGGGACCCCCGACTGCATTTAGTTTGTTTTAACCTTATTTTCTCATATCATGGTTTTGTTTGGCAAGGTAGACTCGGCTTTTCTTTTGCCTTTAAGGGTTAACTTATGGCACAGCGGATTATCAGCTCAGATTGGGAAAGTAATTTCCATCTTGGAACACCACGGAACTCTACAATTGAATCACACTTCTGTACGTTTGTCCGCCGTCTTTTAACCGGATATAATCATGAACCGTATTATAAAGACCACAAAGGCTAAAATTTTGCCCTCTGGACATTAGGTCGCCGCTCAGACCAAATAAAAATTATTTGGTCTGAGGGTCGCCGTTACTTAATTGTACATATTATGTGTATCAACGATATTAAAAACCTTTAGAGTAAATTGTTGATACGTTTGTAAATACCAATTCTACACGAATATCATACAACGTTTTTCAAGACATTGGCGAGAAACAGTATAATTTATAAGTAACGAAGCAAAGTTTTTCTAAGACGAAAATGGCGCGCATTTCCTCGTGGTGAAAATTAGAACTACAGGTTTCGGCTCTTTTTTTTCTTTTTTAGGGTTCCGTAGTCCTGACAAAGAACCCTTAGAGTTTCGTCATCCATCCCCGGTTTTGCTTGGAGATTGTTAGCAATAGAGAGCTGTAATTTTGTGAAGATATGTATATCAATAGTGTCGACAAAATGGTCTACGAAATCGATTTTGAAAATTCTTTTACCAATAGAAAGCTACGTTTTTTGTGAAAGTCATAGGCTATATATTATTAGAACACAAGCTATAGTCTACTGTCTACACCGAAGCGAAATGAGGGTGGGCTACCAATACATACTGTATGTACTTACCTCAATCAAGAACTTTGAATCAAACCGCCATATTCCAATTTTCTACTGAAGGAGCCAGTACCCTTAGCACGAACCAATATCGAATTCGAATTGTTTGCGAGTGCGAGATGTCATTGGCAAATGTGTACTGATTTTTAGTTCTCGTTACGTACTTTGTGCCGCTGCTGTTCAAGTTTCCATACAAAAGACATTGACATTTCGGTTTGCAAACTATTCGAATTCGATAATGGTTCGTGCTAGGGGTACAGTAGCACGAACGCACCCCTAGCACGAACCATTATCGAATTCTGGTGATGTGATAACGAAAGCGATAGTAGGTATTCAAAAGATTTTATTTCTAGTGAAATTATAATGTAAAGATTTTTTTTACTAAAAAAATATCCACGCGGGTCTGGCAGCAGACGGGACTCTTATCCTTACCCTCCGCTATTCGAGCGAATGGATTGGCCATTATGCTACTGCTGCAATACGCGGGAGCATTCTGTAGTAAAATTTTCTTTAGATCACACTTATATTATAAAGGCGAAAGTTTGTGAGTGTACACATGTTTGTTACTTCTTCACGTCTAAACAACTGTAGCGATTTAAATAAAATTTGGTATAGACTTAACTGACACCCTGGATTAACACATAGGCTACGTTTTACTGCGGGAAAATATACCTAGTTATACCTATTATATACACATATATAGCTAGTATGAAATATATTATGCGCTAGTAGATTCTTCCCGAGAAAGTGGCGGCTAACTAATTATTTATCTCAGCTTTACCTACATGTTTGTGATGCTTTACAATCATACTTTATATTACATGTACGTGAATGAATGATAGGCCAGTTTAGACATCTTAGAACATCTCAGACAGTCCTGAACAACAGACATAATAATATAAACAGGAGCTTGTTGCGGCACTTGTGTCGTAACAAAACATCTAATCCAGTAAGGGAGCACTTTGCGTGGGGTGACGCGTCATAGGGTGAGCTCATTCAATGCCGCTTGATGGGACAATATAATTTAAAATAAGACACAACTCTTTAATAAATAAATTTTTACGGGTCAGAAGCACTGAATTTATTTATCTATCCAATAATAGCTATCCTAAGTATTTTAATTTATTGCAAACATTTCGCATTCTTTCACGGGAACCTCATTCAAGTAAACATAAATTAATTATTATACACAAAAAACAATGTAGGTAATCATCCCTTGGCTTCCCAAAAAAATATGTCTCATACAAAACTTGTGGAATATCTGCCAAACCTTAATGTTTTGCTTTATAAATTGTATTGTGATTGTTTTATTTTATTGGGACAGTTTAAAACTGTCCTGATACACTAACGTAAGAAACGTTAAGTGAACATTGGTGTCAATTCTGGCATGATTCTCTAAACTTAAAACTAAATTTAACATCAGTCTCTCCCTTTCATTCTATGTAGAGAATGACAAGGATACACAGTTGTTAAATTAAAGTTTAGGGTTAGAGAATCATGCCAGAATTGACACCAATGTTCACTTAACGTTTCTTACGTTAGTGTATCAGGACAGTTTTAAACTGTCCCAATAAAATAAAACAATCACAATACAATTTATAAAGCAAAACATTAAGGTTTGGCAGATATTCCACAAGTTTTGTATGAGACATATTTTTTTGGGAAGCCAAGGGATGATTACCTACATTGTTTTTTGTGTATAATAATTAATTTATGTTTACTTGAATGAGGTTCCCGTGAAAGAATGCGAAATGTTTGCAATAAATTAAAATACTTAGGATAGCTATTATTGGATAGATAAATAAATTCAGTGCTTCTGACCCGTAAAAATTTATTTATTAAAGAGTTGTGTCTTATTTTAAATTATATTGTCCCATCAAGCGGCATTGAATGAGCTCACCCTATGACGCGTCACCCCACGCAAAGTGCTCCCTTACTGGATTAGATGTTTTGTTACGACACAAGTGCCGCAACAAGCTCCTGTTTATATTATTATGTCTGTTGTTCAGGACTGTCTGAGATGTTCTAAGATGTCTAAACTGGCCTATCATTCATTCACGTACATGTAATATAAAGTATGATTGTAAAGCATCACAAACATGTAGGTAAAGCTGAGATAAATAATTAGTTAGCCGCCACTTTCTCGGGAAGAATCTACTAGCGCATAATATATTTCATACTAGCTATATATGTGTATATAATAGGTATAACTAGGTATATTTTCCCGCAGTAAAACGTAGCCTATGTGTTAATCCAGGGTGTCAGTTAAGTCTATACCAAATTTTATTTAAATCGCTACAGTTGTTTAGACGTGAAGAAGTAACAAACATGTGTACACTCACAAACTTTCGCCTTTATAATATAAGTGTGATCTAAAGAAAATTTTACTACAGAATGCTCCCGCGTATTGCAGCAGTAGCATAATGGCCAATCCATTCGCTCGAATAGCGGAGGGTAAGGATAAGAGTCCCGTCTGCTGCCAGACCCGCGTGGATATTTTTTTAGTAAAAAAAATCTTTACATTATAATTTCACTAGAAATAAAATCTTTTGAATACCTACTATCGCTTTCGTTATCACATCACCAGAATTCGATAATGGTTCGTGCTAGGGGTGCGTTCGTGCTACTGTACCCCTAGCACGAACCATTATCGAATTCGAATAGTTTGCAAACCGAAATGTCAATGTCTTTTGTATGGAAACTTGAACAGCAGCGGCACAAAGTACGTAACGAGAACTAAAAATCAGTACACATTTGCCAATAACATCTCGCACTCGCAAAAATTCTAATTCGATATTGGTTCGTGCTAAGGGTACTGGCTCCTTCAATAGAAAATTGGAATATGGCGGTTTGATTCAAAGTTCTTGATTGAGGTAAGTACATACAGTATGTATTGGTAGCCCACCCACACTTCGCTTCGGTGTAGACAGTAGACTATAGCTTGTGTTCTAATAATATATAGCCTATGACTTTCACAAAAAACGTAGCTTTCTATTGGTAAAAGAATTTTCAAAATCGATTTCGTAGACCATTTTGTCGACACTATTGATATACATATCTTCACAAAATTACAGCTCTCTATTGCTAACAATCTCCAAGCAAAACCGGGGATGGATGACGAAACTCTAAGGGTTCTTTGTCAGGACTACGGAACCCTAAAAAAGAAAAAAAAGAGCCGAAACCTGTAGTTCTAATTTTCACCACGAGGAAATGCGCGCCATTTTCGTCTTAGAAAAACTTTGCTTCGTTACTTATAAATTATACTGTTTCTCGCCAATGTCTTGAAAAACGTTGTATGATATTCGTGTAGAATTGGTATTTACAAACGTATCAACAATTTACTCTAAAAATTAAAACTAAATTTAACATCAGTCTCTCCCTTTCATTCTATGTAGAGAATGACAAGGATACACAGTTGTTAAATTAAAGTTTAGGGTTAGAGAATCATGCCAGAATCGACACCATCACACTAATATTATAAAGGCGAAAGTTTGTGAGTGTGTATGTTTGTTACTTCTTCACGTCTAAACGGCTGAAGCGATTTTAATAAAATTTGGTATGGAGTTAGCTGACACCCTAGATTAACACATAGGCTACTTTTATCCCGAAAAAATGTTAGATTTCAGAGGGATTTTCAAGAAACTAAGTTAACGCAGACGAAGTCGCGGGCGACCTCTAGTTATTTATATAAAGTGTGTCCACCAAAGTTTTAGCATCATGGACGCAGTAGCCGACTGCCCGCCGCCCCTTTGCACGTCCACATTCGCAATACCCACCTATCGATCCACGAATACAGTTTAACACTAATTAGAGCACTTCCTAGAATGATTGTTTAGTACTGTGCAAATAAATATAGGTAGGTATTTAAATCTAAAGAAAATGTAACTAGAAAAAATTGCTTGCCTGGTCCGCGTGGATTTTTTTCTAGTTATATTTTCTTTAGATTTAAACATCAAGCAGTTACATGCTTTAAAATAATAAAAATTATAACTATAGGTAGGTAGTTTTGATAATAGAAAAAATGAGTTCTTGATGCTTTTTCGGTCGGTTCCCTCATCATGTCGATTGCTGTTCAGATATTTTATTTTTAAATAAATATGCGAAATCAATATAAAATTACTATCTAAAATATATATTAATTCATACTATTAGCTACAAGGTTATGCACTTGCATAAGCTTGCAGACGAAAAAAAAACAAAGATTGGAAATATTTTGTTATATATATTGATATACTTGTATAGAAAATTAGGTGTATTAACAATGTGCGTCCAGATTACGTAACACATCACATTACTGTAAAATGACAATTTTTTTTCCAAAACTTTTCCGATTAATTTTGTGTTCATAGTTTCATATTAATATTCCATACTGGCAAACCAGTGAACCAAATATTCACCAAAATCTGATTAAAAAAAAATGTATTTAATTAATTGAGAACTTCGGAGATTTTGTGTGGTTTCGTTTGAAATTCGCGATTTCTCGAAAACCGGAAGTGCTACGTTACTCAAATCCGGTTTGTAGTCTTATCAGACTATTCTTAACTTATAACTTAAACATTCTCTTTATCTCTTACGGTTTGGCCGCTGAAACAGCACCACAGACAGACGGATGGACGGACTTGTCTAATAGATAAGAGATATACGAATATATACGAGGAGCTCGATGGCGCAAGTGGTTAGCGCGTTCGGCTCGTTGAAGTTAATCAACTTTCGCAGTGGTCGGTCATTGGATGGGGGACCAAAAATCTTCTATCTCGAGTTCCTCCGTGCTTCGGAAGGGACGTTAAGCCTTTGGCGCACTGCATCTGCAGTCGTTAGCACCCGCCAATCCGCACTGGGCATGAGTGGTGGGTCATGGCCCAATCTCCCTATTCCATCCATATCCCTATATAGGCCTGTGCCCCAGCAGTGGGGACAGTAATAGGCTGATGATGACTAATATTATAAATGAGAAAGTGAGTTTGTCTGGTATTACCTCTTCAGGCTTAAACCGCCGACCAGATTTAGATTTTGATGAAAGGTGCAGAGATAATTTGAGTCCCAGGGAAGAAAAAGGGATGCATTTTTTCGGGAAATATGTAAGATTCCTCTGGGTTTTTAATAAACTTACGCTAAAAACACGACAAAATTTTGGGATGCGTGTATCTCTGTACATCACAAATAGGTATTTGCAAAATATTTTTTTGAGGGTTATCTAACTACCACCTTTGCTAACTATGTATTTGACTTTCTGTTTTAAACTATACTAGCAAACCAGTGAACCAAATGTTCACCAAAACCTGATTTCTCGAAAACCGGAAGTGCTACGTTACTCAAATCCGGTTTGTAGTCTTATCAGACTATTCTTAACTTATAACTTGAATATTCTCTTTATCTATCTCTTACGGTTTGGCTGCTGAAACAGCACCACAGACAGACGGACTTGTCTAATAGATAAGAGATGATGCAATAAAGAGTTAACTA